CATGTGATCACGTTGCTGAGTTAGAGTTAACCGTCACGATGCCTCAGTGTGTATGGAGTTTAACTGATGAGTGGATCAACTTTTGTTGGTCTACGAAACAGGCTGTATTAAAATCCATATGTGCGTTACTTGAGTAGTCCATTTGCTACTGTATATATATATATATATAAACAGAATAAAAAGGTAAACCAAATGATGAGCTCCCAGTAGAAGGATCCGCGGACGATACAGTGCTTCAATGAAAATGTTAAGTAAGTGTAAAACGATGAAACATGAAGCAAACTTCTAACTGTTCCAGCTTTAATGTGGCGACGTTTCGGCCTTCGGCCTTCTTCAGGTGGAACGTATTTACATAGAAATTAAAAACTAAAAATCCTAGTAGGATTACAGAATGACCTGAATTTATACTAAAAGTAAGAAATAAAAATAGTATTGCGTAATGCATTCCAGACCTAAATAATAGGACGTAACAATGAGTAAAAGGCAAGAATGTGCAATAGGCGAAATAACCACGAATGGTTGCGAAGAACCCAATTACATTGTGTAAATGATGCCCTAATTAAGTATTATAGCGGACGCGATTTTTGGATCTAAATTCGCGTCTTCTGTTAAGTCCGTGGGGACTGAGCGTACATAGTTGTGTGGTCCAGTAGGCCTCTCTCGTAAGTAATAATCTATCAATATAAGCTGCGTCCCCTTGGCTGATAATTTTCTCAATAATAATGAAATTAATTTCAGAAATTTCGTGTTTGGTACAATTGAAGTGGACTGCAAGCTCGCACGTTTTTTTTGTTTGTTCGCATAGATGACTTGTGATTACGAAAACGCACTTTGAATTCAGTGGAAGTAGAACCCACGTATTGTAAATTGCATTTCTTGCACGAGGCCAAGTAAACAACAATTCTGGAAGAGCAAGACAGGTTTTGGCAAATCTTATAGGTTCGGCGTGTGGAAAAACTCTTAAATTTGGAATCTTGAATTAAAAAATTCTTGCAAAGGTCGCATCTAGAGGAGCATTTAAAACAACCTCCCGTTTCCTTCTCTGCCTGACTAACTTTCCCATCCATACAAAATCTAGAAGGCGCCAAAATGTCTTTGGTACGGCGATATGCCGGAAAAATGGATTTTGATGGTAAAATTTCCAATAACTCAGGTAATGATCTTAAGGGATGAACATACTTTTGGATGACCCTCTGAATATCAGGGAGGATAGGATTGTAGTCGAGGACTAACGGAAATACTTTTTTGTTGAACTTGACATTTTTCTTTAGGAGTACTGATCTTTCAATTCTCAACGCTCTGTCAAATTGATTGTCTACCAAATCTGCATTATAACCCTGGGATTTAAGATACCCTTCATATTCAATACATCTCTTGTAAAGGGACTCGTCCGTAGAACAGTTACGTCTAATGCGTAAAGCAACTCCGTAGGGAATTGCCCTTTTACAGTGTGCCGGATGCGAACTGGAAAAGGGTAAATAAAGATGGCTATCTGTAGGCTTAGCATAAATATCAGTAATTATGAACCCGTCTTGACGGTGCAGTGTGAGATCCAGGACATTGAGGGTGTGCTCAGAGTGCACCAGCTCAAATTTGATAATGGGATAGAGGGAATTGATGTACTCGGTAAACTCTAATAACTTAGGCAAACCATGTGTCCAAACATCGAAAACATCATCCCTATATCTCCACCATAATAATGGTTTAACACCACCTCCAGATTTAGCTTTCTCATCAATTAATCCCATAGCCAAGTCGGCATAACTGCATGCGTTTTTGGGGCCCATAGCCGTACCATGTTTTTGCACAAAATTTTTCCCCGAAAATTGACAATTATTGGCTTGGAGACAAATTTCGATTGCCTCAACAATGCATTCGGTGGATGGAAATTTGATCGATCTAGAGTCAAGAGCTTTTCTAACAGCTGAAATGCCTCAGTTATTATCAATATTGGGAAACATAGCCACGACATCCCAGGAGACCAACAGACACCTCAGAGTTAAATGTTTGGATCTTGTTGATAAGATCAGTGGTATCTTTAACAAACGAGGGTAGATTTTGGGCGAGAGGCTTAAGATAAAATTCAGTAAAAGCAGAAAGTCTTTCGATTGCCGTTCCGCAGCAAGATGTAATTAGGCGGAGAGGGTTGCACTCTTTGTGAGTCTTCACATTGCCAAAAGCCACCCCCGGTTTTGGTTCCAAATTGGCAACCCAAGTGGCAATCTCCTGACTAATCTGTCCTCCCCTAAACCATTTCTGTCCCCAGATTTTGACTTTATCAAAATGCTCAATGGTGGGGTCCTGGTTAAGCTTAGTATAATGGAGATCATTGTTAAGCTGCCTTAACATCTTATCTTGGTATTCATTTTGGGAAATACCAAGAAATACCAGTTCTTTTCCTCGAAGTTCTATCCTACCATCTTTTCGTCGATCGAAAAATCTCAAAGAATTGTTAGCACCATCTCGTTTTAAAGCTGCCAGCGAGAGACAAACCATTCCTCATAACAATGGCTGCCGGCTTTAAATGTGATAGGAAAAGATGCGACCTCTGACAAAATTTCTTTGTTGAATCTAAACTATTTCTCAGCTTTCAGACGGAAAAATTAAAACCTTTCACTCTAGACTTTCCTGTGACTCTAAAAATGTGATTTACTTGGCTTCCTGTAAGAAATGTCGCCTGCAATACGTGGGATCTACTACCACCGACTTTAAAAGGAGATTTCGAAATCACAAGTCTACTATGTTCACAAACAAAACAACTTGTGAAGTAGCGATACACTTCAACAAAACCCCACACACCCTGGACGATTTTTCGTTCCAATGCATTGATCAGGTACAGGCCCCTAGTGGCTCTGCAGAGATCGATAGGCTTTTAATCACAAAAGAGGCTTATTGGAGTGCTCAGTTGTTCTCTTTGACACCCCATGGTTTGAATAAAAGAAAGGAATTTCATTCGAAAAATAGAATTTGCTATAATTAATTTTCCATCTTATATTAGGCGCTACTAATTGATCGTTCAAAGGCCCTTTTCTTGGATTTTGTCGGCCCTTTAGGTGTGGATTGGACTCAAAGGCCCTGCCAAGGGATCTTATTATGATTAGTATCATTTAAGCGCCCCTCCAGAGATTTTGTTGCTAATTTGCCCTTTCGGGCTCCAAAGGCCTTCTTTTGGGATTTTGTTACGATTTACAGTTGTAGTAAAAAGTGGGCCTTCCCTTTTTTAATGCTCGCCGCATTGCTTCTTTGCAAATGGTTACGCCACTCATTTTAACATATTTAGTATATCTCTTAGTTTTTAGGGTTTGTTTCTTGTCTTTTGTCCATTGCTTCTTTGTAATTAGGTTTTTTGTTTATTAGCACCAGTTCATTAGTCGTTATCTGTAATTACGTAATCATTAGCACTTCGATCCTATTTAACGCTCTTTTTTTATTTCAAAGGTTGTAAATAACTGAAGAAGGTCTCTGACCGAAACGTTTTTTATTAAAATTTTTTATATTTTTACGTCAGAAGTTGTCTATCCTCGCAATTTTTTAAACTTTATATATATATAAATATATAAATGTGAGGGTAGAGCCTACCTTGGCATAAAGTGCTCAATGCTGCGTTAGCAGAGCTGGGAAAAATTAGTTGAAGAATCAAAGAAGACGCATCGATTCTCTGTTACTCTGAGTTTCGTACAGAGAATCGATGCGTCCTCTTTGATTCTTAGATATAGCTCTTTGGGATACAAAGCTTTGCTTTCATGTCCAAAGTGACCACTCTATCTAGGATGAGTCATTCCTGTTGCAATTGCGCATGCTCGCTAGTTTACCCTAGTTTGAGCACTCTGGCATGGTTTAGACGATACCACAAAGGTTGGGTCGTTTGGGGTGAACTTCTCGGTTCTCCCCCATCCTAGCATTAGCATTGCCTTGATAAAGCCCAGAAGGCCGAAACAGTACTGTCTGCAGTTAGAAACTTGTAAGGGGTCCCACAAACAATGCTGATCAGTCTCAAATGCGCTGCTTGGAGGATCACTGATGCGATCGTGGGCTCTTGAAATAATGTAAATAAAAGCAGAAATGTGATGGTCAAGCGGCCAACTCCAATGTAGCTTTGTTGGTTTATTAGCTCGACGTTTCGACCGTCTCGGTCTTCCTCAGGAGCATACAAATTGCATGAGCAATATTAAAATTTGAAATTCGTGTCAACAATAAACAAGTCATGACGTAATAATATAAAAATAGAATAGATAACAGCGAAACGTGTTATATAGCCTGCGTTGCAGCCGGACGTGTCACACAATCCCCGGTATAGTCCGTCTGCGAAACGGCTCGTAAAAGCTTGTTCTGATATCCCGCAGGGATCCACCGATCTGTGTATTCATTTCTGATTTGTTATTTTCTTACGCGCCTTATGATTGGTCATATTCTTGCGAAATTTATCACGCAATGCTAAAAAATAAATATCGTCGCGTGTAAATTGTATATTCGAAGTACTTTTGTACAAAGCTTTGTTTTGCATTTCAAAAGATTGAAAAAGTTATGTCTGATTCGTCCGTTTATTGTAATTTATGCTGTCGCGTCATCGAAAAGGAAACGAAAGAGGGTTACTTTCAAAGGGATGGAAACAATTCGACGTACTCACCGAAATTGAAAGTTTGGAAATATCTTTGTGATCGATCGAAAACAAGTACGTCTGCCAAAACTGTGTTGCGAAACTGAAAAAACGTCGGTCACTTATCGAGCAAACAGAAAAATTGGAAGCAGATCTCAAAAGCCTTAGTATGTAAGCTTACAGTCAAACGATCTGGGGAACTGCTAAGTGACGACCACGATGCTCTAACATCGAAGAAAGTCTGCGATGGATCTGACGGGGGTTTTGCCTGTATCATTACTTCATCTCCCGTTCGTCCTCTGCAAAGAACATCTCCGAGAGAGCAAGCACTCTGGAGAGCCATAAACAAGAACATAATTGCCGTTCATAACCTGATGGATTATTTCGACATCCTCATCGTACACATTTCTGCTTATATAAGAGGCCACCTCCAATGTAGCTTTGTTAGTTTATTAGCTCGACGGTTCGACCGTCTCGGTCTTCCTCATGAGCATACTAATTACATGAGCAATATTCAAATTTAAAATTCGCGTCAACGGTAAACATGTCATGACGTAATAATATGATATACAAATAGAATAGATAACAGCAAAACGTGTTATAGCGACTAAAACAGATAAATTAGAATAGTTATAATTCATGTAGTAAGTTTATTGATAGTAGGATTGAGTCTTAAAAACCAATAATTTTCCCTTGCTTTTCTGATTTATTGATTTTGACTTCTAACTTTTTTAATAACCGTAAGTATATATTTATACATCCTTAGTACTTACAATAACCATTAAAAGGTTTGAAGCGAAAAAACCCCCATTTTTGTCTTTTTTCTTTTGTTCTTTTTCTTATTTTTTTTTTTATTTCTATTAAGATTGGGAGGTCACAAGCGCCGAGGTCCCGAGAATACAGAACAGATTTTGGAGGTTGAAAAGATCATTAATCACCATAACTACAAAAGACCGTATGGTATGGCTCACGATATCGCCATGCTGAAACTGCGTCACCCCGCTAAAATAAACCAGCATGTTGGAAAGGCTTGCTTGCCTGGGTCGAGTGGAAGGGTTCCAGATGGCAAGAATTGTTGGGTTACAGGTAGATGTATATAGGGGCGCGCAGATATTAATTCTGGTTTATCTGAAAGGATATAATGACCTAAATTTTCATGGATGTGCAATTTTTTTAAACCCAGTCAATCTATTTTAACTGTAACTATCATTTCTTATTTTGAAAAAAGGTTTACATTTATCTTCCTATTTCTATGGTATCATTCAAAGTACTTTTCCCTTAAGGTTGACTAAACATAACGATCTTTATCAGCGATGCTCGAAGGAGGGTGAAGGAAGAGAGACGACAGAACAAGAATGCCACGATGAAACGCTTTGACGAATTGATTATGGATATAAAATGTATATATGAATCCGTAAAATTTCAGTATCACAACATTAGATTATATAAAAAAGATAGCTTGCCGTGAAACTTTCATACTTTGATTAAATCGTAAATATTGCGTTTCCATACCTTAGGCTTTGGAAGATTGTCGTCCGGCGGCAGTTCCCCCAATAGGCTCAGGCAAGTGTCTGTGCCAATTGTTAGTGAGAGCAAATGCAGAAGAGCGTATGGCTCATCAATCCACGCCTCCATGGTCTGTGCTGGGCTCGATCGTGGAGGAAAAGATTCGTGCCAGGGAGATTCAGGCGGACCAATGGTGTGCGAATACAAAGGAAAGTTCTTCCTGGAGGGTGTCGTGTCGTGGGGAAGTGGATGTGCTGCTCCGGGAAAATATGGCGTTTACTCCAGGGTTCGTTACTTAAGGCAATGGATTGACAGCACTATGAGCCGATATTAAGGATTAATATCTGAGACTTAATAAAAACGAGTAATATACATTTGAATTTGTGGGCATGTTGTTGAAGAGCGATTTCTTCCTTATAGTCACATATAGAATCATACGACCTTTCGGATCTTTCAGATTCCTGAAAGTAAGATTAGCCCAACCTTTCAAAACGAGCCAATTAGCAAAACGTTATCGCTAAAGAGGGGAGTGAATAAAGAATATCAGCTTTTAAGATTAATAGTGGTTAAAGTTGTTAATCATCTTTCTGATTGAAATATCTGGATGTATTATGAAAAATAGGGAGGTCGTTAAGATCAATCCTTTGCACTTTGCAAATCTTAGGGGGAACCAGACATAAACTATCCAAAAATACTAATAACGATTCTAACCAAGCAGAGCCGGGATACTGATGCGTAAGAAATAAGCTAGCGAGGAACAAAAACTTTCTTCCAAAGAGAGTAAAAGCGATATTACGTTCCAAAAATCGAAAATCGAAGATTCTAAATCAAATTTCTCTCTCACATCTAAATGTCGAGTTTGAACTGAGATGAAAAAGAGCAGAAATGATTTCGAGTTCCCTGACAGGTGACTGACAACATCAAACCTCAGTATTTTCGATTAACTTTACTATCCCTGATCAAGAGAGTAGAAAGTGAGAAAGAGGTATTTCATCTACTGAGGTTTGATGTTGTCAGTCACCTGTCAGGGAACTCGAAATCATTTCTGCTCTTTTTCATCTCAGTTCAAACTCGACATGTAGATGTGAGAGAGAAATTTGATTTAGAATCTTCGATTTTCGATTTTTGGAACGTAATATCGCTTTTACTCTCTTTGGAAGAAAGTTTTTGTTCCTCGCTAGCTTATTTCTTACGCATCAGTATCCCGGCTCTGCTTGGTTAGAATCGTTATTAGTATTTTTGGATAGTTTATGTCTGGTTCCCCGGTTTTGATAGTTTTAATCATTTCCGGTTTAACCCGGATGCCTCACTGAAAGTGTTTTAGCTCTCGCAATTATCTCTATGGACGTCACAGCCTGAGAAATCTGTATTTGCTAAAACATATGAAACAACGCTTATTGCACAAACCTCTTTAGATAGTCGTTTATAAAAGTAGTTTTCTGTAAACGGCTACCCATCCCTCCTTGCCCAGATTTCGAATTTTTAAATTCGAACATTTTTCTAACACTAAATCAGTGAGGAGCACTCTGCGATGCGTTTCGTGAGGCCACGGTTAGAGCTCAAACCAGAGTGCTGGTCATTATTTTAGTTTTAAAAAAATTTTGAAAAAATTGGAGTGGGAAAAAACCACGTATTCAATGCCGTTATCACATTTCTATATGAGTAAAAAAAAATCTACATCGCAAGGATTTAATATGAGAACTTGCTTTGCAATTTTTAGCGCGTAGATTTTAATGTATTTCTTGAACCGACGAACCGATAGCTATAAGAAAACTGGTATTATCTTCAGTAAACGACGTATTCGAGTGCCATTATCACATTTCTATATAAATAAAATTATCTATATTGCAAGGATCTAATATAAGAACTTTCTTGCAATTTTAGTGCGTGGTTTAAAGGTTAATGTATTTCTTGAACCGACGAAGTGATAGCTAGTATTATCTTCTGGAAATCAAGGAGAGTGCACTAGTGTTATTGATAAACTAGAACGCTGCACAGTTCTTAGCCGAGTCACGGTTGGGCAAGCTGAACTGATATTATTTAAACCTTCAAATTAAAACAAAATCGATTCAAACTTTGATCTAATATGTCATTTTGCAACAAATGTGGTCATGTCACCCAAATGACTTTTAGCTGAGTAAATTTTGAGAAAATAGTGTGGTGTCTACAGATAATATTTCAAAGAATGTTAAATTTGAAATCAAATTTCATCAGTTTGTTTGGTTTGGATAGTGTTCTTGACACCAGCAGATTGAAATTTCGTTTTAGTCAGACATCATATACACAGCTGTGTCAATTCTACGCAACGTATGTTTAATGCTATTGATAAATAATATTTGCACTTATTTACGAACGTGAATCGAGTTTCTTGGAAACGTGTTAAACCATTGTGCAATTCCTTAAAAAAGAACAGATATTTATTTGTTCATTTGTGAAATTTCATCTTTGCTGTTTGGCAAAGGACAAAATCTAATTTTGAATATCGTGTTTGATAATGACTGTTCTTGCTCGTGTTTGGTAATCTTGTCTCTGTGCTTATTCAGGATGTGGATGAAAGTTGAAACGTCGATGGTATCAGGCGATGCAATACAAAGTCCCTAGTTACTCAAAGATTGCTTCACTTTGCAATATATCATGCATTCGAGAATTTTTCTTTGTGTTTTTTGACGTTGCTTTCCTGGCAAGCATCGGGCAAGCACAAGGTAATCATGTGTATATATTCACCCTTTTTTTTATTATAATTGCCACTGTAGAACCACAAACGCTTTATTTATTAGCTAGGAGCGAAATGGCGAGGAAGAGCATAGAAACCCTGGGGCTTAAGGGAATGGGGCTTATGGGAAGCAATGACTTCCTTAACTATCATCATATCGCATACAAAAATGGAGCAACAGAGGCGAAATAGGTGAATACAATACAATGAAAATGAGGAACCAATCACAGCAAAAAAAAAAGGAGGTGCAAAGAAAGGAATTAAGAGAAAGTAGAAACTAACAAAAAACAGTTGTCACACTCTTCTGGGGAAAAGATGGAAAATATAATGCCTTTGGTTGCGGCTAACTCATATGTTACAGTAAACCGGCCTAAATTTTTAATTCTTAAAAGAGTCCACGAGTATACAATAATCCCCCCCCCCCTGAGTATTATCAAGAACACACCAAAATCAAATGGAAGTTTTTATTAACCTATCTTTTTACAGTCATCAAAATACCTAATGCTAAACATGTTTGATTCTCAGGCTGTGAAGACAAGAGACGGGAATGTTTAGGCTGGGCACGAAGAGCGTACTGCTCCACTTATAAAGAGTATATGAAGAAAAATTGTCAAAAGAGCTGTAGAATTTGCGGAGGGGGTAACGGAGGTGGAGGAGGAGGAAGTAGTGGAAATGGTAGGCTGCAAATGATGTTTCAAAAAGGCTGTATTAAGATCTCAATCTGGTTCTATTGAGCTTTAATTTTCACAAGCGCCCAGTCCTCCATGATGACTAGCCATTGAAAAACAGATGCAAGAAATCTACATCTACATCTACATTTTAGTACGTCGGTAAAGTCGTTAGACATCACATGAACTTTTAAAATACAAAAAGTATAAAATAATAACAGTAAGAATAATATCTACCAGTTTAAGGTTTCTCATTAAAATACTTGGAAATCTTCGTTTTAAATCTCTAAAGAGATGCTTTCAACAATATCTTTCGGAAGTTTGTCCCATATCCTGTGGGTGGAATTAAAATTTCGTGCGCCTGAATTGGGGCACAAGTGGCCAGCACTGAATCTCTTATTATCTTGTCTGTCAGGCTTTCATTGACTTCTAATCATTATTGGGTCTCCAAAGATTTATCCGCAAACAGTTTAATTGGTCTAACGTTGGACTAGATGACAATGATGAGTTGTTCTCGGCCTGCCTAGGGGTTGCATTTTACTTCACGGGTTTTTCATTATCAATTAAGGCTTTTTGTTCTAATATCTGTTTTATCTTGTTTAATCCTTTAAATTGAATTGTTTCTGTATAAGAAGTGACGCCAAAATTTGCTAGCATCAATGTTGATTTACAGAGTAAAAAAGATAGTAGTTTCATGATACATAAAGCCTGAATATTCTAGGTTTCAGAATTATATAGCTACTTAATCATTACTATCTATACATTCCCTGTCTAGGACAATGTGAATACAAGCCAAGTGTACGAATTGTCGGTGGTACCGAGGCCCCTAAAGGGGCTTGGCCTTGGCAGGCTCTGGTCAGGTCAAGTAATGGTTTTACATTTTGTGGAGGAACTTTAGTTCATCCACGCTAGATTGTAACTGCGGCTCACTGTGACCCGAACAAACCTCCTTCGAGCATTCGAGTAAGGTAATATATTTGACATGTGAAAATAAACCAAAATCAATGTTCAGTAAAACAAGTCCTGAAATAAGACAGGAAGGAGAAATAGAACGTGAAAAATTTTTCACTAGATCAATCGTCTTACTTTTTAAGGCTCGGTGCTCACTATCGCAGCAGCACAACAGACCGAACAGGACTTCGAAGTGGAGCGAATCATTTCCCATCATGGCTATAAACGACCTTATGGTATGGCTCACGACAATGCTATGTTGAAATTGCGAAGGCCAGCTCAGATTAACAGAAATGTAAACCTGGCTTGCTTACTTGGATCAAGTGGTGAGGCCCAAGTAGGAAAGACATGCTGGGTAACAGGTAATGAGGCTTACATGCCTAGTCACCCAATTCCTCCATAGCTTATACCAGTTTCCATGTAAAGGAGAAGCAGCAGCTGCAAGAATATATTCATTACTTCTAGACTGGATGCTTTTCATTTGTAGGGAACCACAACCTTTTCACCCCCTCCCCACTTCTCGCATCGCTCTTCCCAAAAATAGTGTAATTTGACATAGTTCTCTGCTAGTTTGTTGGTATTCATTAGGAGCGGTACGGTGAGAAGGGACATTGAAATATTTTATCCTCTGACGCAACACATTTGGGCAGACCTCTCGTCCAAATCTTGTTCTAAAAAATACAGTTTTACCTGTTCTACCATTTCTACTATGTGTTCAATGAAGATCTTGGAAGATAGAGCCCTTGCTTTTGTTCTGCTTTACGTGACCTTTCTTTTAATTATCATTGGATACGTAAAATAAATCTACTTTGTATTATTTTACAAATTCTAGGATATGGGACACTTTCCTCAGGTGGTTCACTTGAAGACAGGCTCATGCAAGTTGATGTGCCAATTGTCTCACAGTCTCAGTGCAAACAAGGTTACGGCTCGTGCTGGACTCAGACGGGGAGGTAAAGACTCGTGCCAAGGAGATTCAGGAGGGCCGTTGGTGTGTGAAATCAGTGGGAAGTACTACTTGGAAAGGGTGGTGTCCTGGGGACACGGG